TGCCCTGGGAAAAGCCTGGGCGGGGGGGGGGGGGGCGGCGGGGGCAGGGGGGGGGCAGGGGGGCGAACGACACGACACGACACGAAAATAAAGGTGTCCGAGGCTCAGGGGGCTGCCCCGGCGCCCTGGGGAGCCTGGGCGGGGGGGGGGTGCAGCGGAGGGGGGGGCAGGGGGACGAACGACACGACGCGACACGAAAATAAAAGTGTCCGAGGCCCAGGGGGGCTGCCCTGGGGAGCCTGGGCGGCGCGGGGCAGGGGGGGGTGCAGGGGGGAACGACGCGACACGACACGACGCGAAAATAAAGATGTCCGAGCTCTAGAGCACAGCTGTGCAAGAGAATAAGGGTTCCGTGGCCTCCCAGGGGGCTACCCTGGGAAGCTGTGGACAGGGGGGGGTGGGGGCGAGGGGTACCCTGGGAAGCGTGGACAGGGGGGGGGGGCGAGGGGGGCGGGAGGGGGGCGAGGGGGACGAACGACACGACGAACGACGAAAATAAAGGGTTCCGTGGCCCAGGGGGGCTACCCTGGGAAGCGTGGACAGGGGGGGGCGAGGGGGACGAACGACACGACGAACGACGAAAATAAAGATGTCCGAGCTCTAGAGCCACAAGCGGCAGAGAATAAAGAGGGTCGAGCTCTAGAGAACGCTGTGCAAGATAATAAAGTGGTTGGGGGAAGGGGGCGGCGCGCTGTGGCTGCTGGGGAGAGGGGGGCGGGCGGGGGGGGCGACGGACGACGCCGAAAATAAAGTGGTCGGGGCGGAGAGGGCGGCGCGCTGGGCTGCTGGGGAAAAGGACAGGGGGGGGGCGACGACGACGCCGAAATAAAGTGGTCGGGGCGGAGGGGGCAGCGCGCTGGGCTGCTGAGGAGAGGGAGAGGGGGGTGGAGGGGGGGGCGACGACGAAGCCGAAATAAAGTCGTCGGGGCGGAGGGGGCGGTGCGCTGGGGTGCTGGGGAGCGACACATAGCGACACATGTCGACACAACGCCGAAATAGGGCGACGACGACGCCGAAATAAAGTCGTCGGGGCGGAGAGGGCGGTGCGCTGGGCTGCTGGGGAAAGCGACGCATGTCGACACAACGCCGAAATAGGGCGACGACGACGCCGAAATAAAGTGGTCGGGGCGGAGGGGCGGTGCGCTGGGCTGCTGGGGAAAAGGGCCGGGGGGGGGCGACGACGACGCCGAAATAAAATGGTCGGGGCGGAGGGGGCAGCGCGCTGGGCTGCTGAGGAGAGGGAGAGGGGGGGGGGGGCGACGACGACGCCGAAATAAAGTCGTCGGGGCGGAGGGGGCGGTGCGCTGGGGTGCTGGGGAGCGACACATAGCGACACATGTCGACACAACGCCGAAATAAAGTGGTCGGGGCGGAGGGGGCAGCGCGCTGGGCTGCTGAGGAGAGGGAGAGGGGGGGGGTGGGGGCGACGACGACGCCGAAATAAAGTGGTCGGGGCGGAGGGGGGGGTGCGCTGGGGTGCTGGGGAGCGACACATAGCGACACATGTCGACACAACGCCGAAATAAAGTGGTCGGGGCGGAGGGGGCAGCGCGCTGGGCTGCTGAGGAGAGGGGGAGGGGGGGGGGGGGCGACGACGACGCCGAAATAAAGTCGTCGGGGCGGAGGGGGCGGTGCGCTGGGGTGCTGGGGAGCGACACATAGCGACACATGTCGACACAACGCCGAAATAAAGTGGTCGGGGCGGAGGGGGCAGCGCGCTGGGCTGCTGAGGAGAGGGAGAGGGGGGGGGGCGACGACGACGCCGAAATAAAGTCGTCGGGGCGGAGGGGGCGGTGCGCTGGGGTGCTGGGGAGCGACACATAGCGACGCATGTGGACACATATCGACATGTAGAGACATATATCGACACACGCACACATATCGACGCATAGCGACACACAGCGACACATAGCGACGCACACATGGAGACGCATAGCGACACACGGCGACACATAGCGGCACATGAAGGGCACAAGGCACACAGCGACACATATAGCGACACATGAAGGGCACAAGGCATCTGGGGGGGGCGACGACGAGCCGAAATAAAGTGGTCGGAGCTCTAGACACCCTGTGCAAGAGAATAATGATAATAATAGGAAGAAACATAATAGGAAGAAGAGGAGGCGGGAGACGATGTCCGCAATACGTTGGGCCCAAGCTCGCTTGTTCAGGATAGTGCCACAAGGCAGTGATCGTCTCACCGATTGCGCGCAGCAGCTTTGTCTGTCACCACTTCTCACGATCATGAGCGCAGTGGAGTTTACGGACATGCCTGGGATGGTTGCGGAATTGGCGTCCGACCGTGCCTCCACGAAATTAACCCCATACGGTCTGTCCTTGGCCTGGGCGAAGTCCGTGCACCACGTTCAGCTTCCCGGGAAGGGCGATCCTAGCAGCACCGGGGTCAGCTTCAAGATTGGTGAGGGTTTGGGGGACATTCGCTTGGGCTTCGTAGAAGCAGACGTCGGGCATCCGTTCCAGAAGTCCATGCTAGGAGAAGTCCATTTCATGTTTTGCCCAAATAATCGGGGTGGCTTTCGGTACCGACGGTACACAATTAATGGAGTGAGGCAAGAGAGTCTCTATATGGGGGACACATTCGAGTTGATGCTGAATCACGAGATGAACAGGGTCGAATGTTGGTCTTGGGCGCGCGGCGTACGCAAAATGACGCTTTTGCCATGGTATAACCCTTCGTTACCGCCTCGCCCACTGCACTTCGCGGTGCAGTGTCGCAGCGTGGGTTTGTGCAATCTCCAATGGGTGGGGGGAGAGTTGCCTCAGCCCCGCGCGAAGCAGGATCCCTTCGCCGATCAGCAACTTACCATCGCAGCTCGCGACAGGAATGGAAAGCGCAGCCTTGTGGAACGTGGCAAGGCGGCGGCCGAGCAGCGCGCGGCCGCACTCGCGGCCGAGGAGGAGGACCTTGAGTCTGGCAAGGCGGCACCCGAGCAGCGCGCGGCCGCACTCGCGGCCGAGAAGGAGGACCTGAAGTTGGGAAAGACAGCAGCTGAGCAGCGCGGGGCCGCGCTCGCGGCCGAGAACCAGGAGCTCCAGTCCGGCAAGGCGGCGGCCGAGCAGCGCGCGGCTGCACTCGCGGTCGAGAGGGAGGAGCTCCAGTCCAGAATGACGGCGATCGAGCAACGCACGGCCGCACTCGCGGCCGAGAACCAGGAGCTCCAGTCGGGCAAGGCGGCGGCCGAGCAGCGAGCGGCTGCGCTCGCGGTCGAGAGGGAGGAGCTCCAGTCCGGCAAGGCGGCGGCCGAGCAGCGCGCGGCCGCGCTCGCGGCCGAGAGGGAGGAGCTCCAGTCCGGCAAGGCGGCGGCCGAGCAGCGCGCGGCCGCGCTCGCGGCCGAGAGGGAGGAGCTCCAGTCCGGCAAGGCGGCGGCCGAGCAGCGCGCGGCCGCGCTCGCGGCCGAGAGGGAGGAGCTCCAGTCCGGCAAGGCGGCGGCCGAGCAGCGCGCGGCCGCGCTCGCGGCCGAGAGGGAGGAGCTCCAGTCCGGCAAGGCGGCGGCCGAGCAGCGCGCGGCCGCGCTCGCGGCCGAGAGGGAGGAGCTCCAGTCCGGCAAGGCGGCGGCCGAGCAGCGCGCGGCCGCGCTCGCGGCCGAGAGGGAGGAGCTCCAGTCCGGCAAGGCGGCGGCCGAGCAGCGCGCGGCCGCGCTCGCGGCCGAGAGGGAGGAGCTCCAGTCCGGCAAGGCGGCGGCCGAGCAGCGCGCGGCCGCGCTCGCGGCCGAGAGGGAGGAGCTCCAGTCCGGCAAGGCGGCGGCCGAGCAGCGCGCGGCTGCACTCACGGTCGAGAGGGAGGAATTCCAGTCCATAATGACGGCGATCGAGCAACGCACGATCGAGCAACGCACGGCCGCATTCGCGGCCGCGAACCGGGAGCTCCAGTCGGGCAAGGCGGCGGCCGAGCAGCGCGCGGCCGCGCTCGCGGCCGAGAGGGAGGAGCTCCAGTCCGGCAAGGCGGCGGCCGAGCAGCGCGCGGCCGCGCTCGCGGCCGAGAGGGAGGACCTCCAGTCCGGCAAGGCGGCGGCCGAGCAGCGCGCGGCCGCGCTGGCGGCCGAGAGGGAGGAGCTCCTGTCGCAGGTCGCCGGGCTGGAGGGGCGCCTCGAGGCGGAGGGCCGCCTCCGCGAGCGGGGGCAGCGGGGGCCCTCGCCGCAGGGCGCGGAGCTGGGCCGGAAGGCCGATGAGGCCCCAGCCCGTGGGAATAATTAGGCGTCGGGGGTTGCCAGAGGTGCCCCTGGCCCAAGGTGCCCCCCAGCTTCCCGCTCCATGTTGGAGCCCTCGGGGGCCCTCTGGGCCTCGTGAGGGGTGCTCTGGAGGGCGCGGGGGGCCTCCTGGGAAATCCCGAGGGCGCCTTGGGCCAGGGGCATTTCTGGCATGACGTTGGGCATGTCTTTCTTCAAAAATAGTCACAGCATAGTCTGGGGACGAATTTCCGATTTTTGGACCATGTTTGAAGATGCTTCGATTCTGTTTACTTTTCCTTTCAAGCTCCGCCTGCAGGAGGACATGCCCGACCTGATTCTGGCAACACCCGCCCTGGCACCTGCGGCATCTTGTGCGCCGCCCCCGGCAGCCTCGGGCAACCTCGGCTGTCCCTCGTAACTTGGCCTTCGCATTTGCTTCGGGCACCAGCCCCCGGGACAGAGAGCAGTGCTGCAGAGCAGGGTGCAACGCATGCAGCGCGATCCGCCTTAAAGAAGGAAAATCGGCACAAGCAGAAACTTTTGGCGCTCGGCGCGGATTTCTTGGATCCGCGCAGAAGAGCCCCCGTTGGTACCAAGAGGAACAGCCTCGTATACCCTCGCAGTTCCATCTTTGGAGCGCACGAGCGTCGATCAGCGCCTGGTATCATCATTGAGGCAGCGCCGAGTTAGCGTCGATCAAGCGTCGATTCGCATGAGCCCAGAAGATGATACGGGAGGCTCCCGTGAGTTGCCACCGAACGTTGCTCAGCGCTCCCCGTGGAAGCACGACGAATGTGCTCGGCACAG